TGTTTGTATTGTATACAAGATGACCCCAAAACAAATGAAAATTCATTTTAATTAAAAAAAAAATCTTTCAAAGGAATTTTGTTTTGAGATCTTAATATTGATTTGATATTGCAAATTGTCTTCTATTTTAAGAATCTTTGTAATTAAACTTTATTTATTTTTTATTTATTATCGGAAATTTTTCCTATATAACAGTTTTCATTTTGAGGCAAATAATCAGAATCATGAATAAAAGTAAAGGAAACAGTAAATCGGAATCCTATACATTTGATTTATTACCGGGTTCGTTAGTTCATACCCTACAGCAAATTTATTGATTCTCAAAAAAGTTATTTATTCTTAGGAATTAATGTTTACCAAAGATGAGTGGAATTGAATTCAAATTAAATTTATGCGGATTGTTCGCGTATTAAATTAAATGTTTGTATGACATCTGCTATAGCATAATCATAATAAATGAAATGGATTATGGCCCGTATTTTAAAAGTTTATACTACACCTATTTTATATGTTTATCACCAGTTGCGTATAAATTATTAATTAAACGCAAAAAAATGGAAAGAGTAGTACTAAAAATAAAAATCTCATCCTAATTATGTAATTTGTTTTATATGCGGACAAAAATATAATAATTATTGTCGAAAAGAATTCTAAAATTAAAGATTTGTTTAAGAGAATTTGGATTTGATTTTCTATATTTTCGATTTTTAAACTTTATATTTTGTAATTTCATTTCTCTTGGGGAATACATGCTTCCATATATTGAGAATATTTATGAATTAAAGGCTATACTGCAAGAGTACGTTCTCTTAAACATTAATTTTGATTTAATTTAAAAACGGTGTTGAAATTCTGATTTTCCGAGACAATATGCCCATAAAAGTTCAATAGTTTAATTAAAATAAAAATCGACAAATCTTTAAATCCATTTCAATTTTCCAAAAAAATATTGCATATATTTAGGCGAACAAGAAATTTATTTGAAGTTTATTAATTAAAATTCATTTTTTATAATATTTTTGGCCAATCTAGCTTCCTTTTAATAAAATTTTAATTGAAATTGTATTTACATATAAAATATACATATATGTGTACGTTAGTAAATATTTATGTACATAATATGTAGTAAATAAAGGAACATATTAATAATGTTTGAGAACAAAAATACAATTATCATTCTCTTTGATATTTTCTTTATGAATATAAAGTGATCTTTCAAAAATATTAAAAATATTTTTACATACATACAAAAATTATCCTCCTTTTTCAAAATGACAAAAATACATATAATATGAAGAAGGAAAAATGTAAATATTTGAGATTGTAATTGAATTGAGAACCGGTAAATATGTAAAAGTAATTTTAAAACAGATTAGGTCTATACAAAACAATAACAAAAAAAAAAAAAAAGGAAAGGAAGAAAAGTATATTTGTTTTTTTTTTTTTTTGTTTTGCTTCCTTTTTGAATGAAGGTTAAAATTTTTGGTCTCAAGGACTTAAAATTTTGTATATACATGAACCTTTTTTTTGTTGATTTTTATTTTTCCAAAAAAATTTTTTTTTTTGGTTACTAAGTTGATATGGAAGGAAGATGGTATATTTGTATAATAATGAGAAGACAAGAATATTAAGAATATTCATCATATAAGAAGAAAATTCTAAATTAATATTTAAGTATTACACATACCATAAATTTTGCTAATCATAAGTTAAACTCATTAATTATATCTGTTATACAATATCTAAATATCATGCGGATATAAGTATGATTATATTAATATTTCCGGGTAAATTACATTTTTGAGATTAAAATATTTCAAAATTATTGAAAATATTGGGATCTTTATAAGTTATTTGTAATTATTATTGAAGCTATTTAAAAATTCTATAATTATAATTAACAAGTAATCATAAATAAAAGTAGAATATTTTATTATTAGAAAATGGTCCTGAATATTTATGAAAAATATTTTATTTAAATATGGAGTAATTTAGTTTTTGGTTTTTGATTTCAAGTTCTTAAATTTAAAAAAATCACTGAATAATGCTTAAGTGATGACAGTATTTGTCGTATATTTTTCGTATTGAGCACGTACTTAAACATTATGTTCAGACATTTTTTCATTTTCTTAGCAGTGTAAATGTTTAAATTTCGATATTCATTTATGTTATTTTAGTAAATGTAATGGTATTGAGATTTGAGTGATAAATTGGCGCTAATTGCGAGAATAAGACACTATTTGTCTAATTGGAATATTTGTTTCTAATTGTAAAAATATTACATTTTAATTATTATATTTTATTTATTTAATATTGAATATCGTAAATCTATTAATATTTAAAAAATATTATTGAACTATATGGGTATATTAATACCCGCGTGGGTAAATTTCTTAAAAAATCCAAAGGCTTCAAAATTATTCATTACATCATATTTTATTTTAATTAAAAAAAAAAACTAAAATTTCAAATTCATGTTTTTTACAAAATATTTAGTTCAATTTAACTTTTTGTTTTTTCCTTGTGAGTGGGTAGATGATGAACAACAATATTTTTGTACCAGTTCGTGAAATCGCCACCAATTTAAAAAAAAACAATTTTTCCCCCATATTTTTTAAATAAAAAATATTTTAACTTAATCTTGACATTTTGGATTAAAAAAAAAAAAATCCGACCTTTAAAAGTTTTTGTTTATCTTACATGAAAAAAAAAAAAAAAATGAGAAAAAGGGAAAATAAATACAAATATGTACATACATATAAGAAGAAGTTAAATTTTTATTTCTGCTTAAATTATTTTGAATATATTAGTAAACACATTTACAGGATTTCCTATATATATATATATATATATATATATTGTATAACAAAAAATGTTATTTTCATATTATAAAGCATAAAAATAATAAAAAAAAAATTATGTACATCGGAAACAAATTGGGAAATTTAATATAGAAAAAGAAGCGAAGTATCAATCGATAATTCATACGGGAAATAATCTTTTAATTCAAAAATTGGTAAAAAAGAAAAAAAAAAGCAGAAAACTTTTTCTATACAAAAAATAAAAATTAATAAAAAAAAAAAAAAACAATTTTTTTTTCTTCTATTTAAATTTACAATATTCTACCAACCTATATAATATATAAATATGTATATGTATACGAGTATAACAGTATGATAAAAATAATATTTATTTTAAAACTTTAAGAAAAATTAAATTTGTAATTTTACATTCTGCTTTACACCACAAATAATTTAGAAAACGATAAAAAGCTTTTCTTTTTTTTTACTTTTTGTTTTTGTTTATTTTTACAATAATAATATTATAAGTGCATATTTTGTGGAAATTACCATTATAAGTTAATATACAAATTGGTTTTTTTGGGTAATAAAAATACATTATGGGTTTTTTTTTAAAGGAAAAATACGATATATGTATACGATATACTTTATACGTAATACTACATAATATATAAGAGTGTAAAAGTACAGGAAGAATATAAAAGCAATAAATAGTAATAATATTTACTTAAAACGTAATATTGTTATATATTATTTATATAAGTTTATTTGTACCCTACTATTATAAAAATGTATTTGATTTGAAGAAAATATTGTTAAAGCATATTAAAAAACGACCTAAATTATTATAATAAAACAAAAAACAAATATTTATGTAGAATAATTTTAGAAAGATAAATATATATATTTCTTAATTAAAAATTGTTATACTATATAATTATCATTGTTATGGCAATATTGAACCATTTTATTATTAATGTATGCATTATCTGCATACGAATATTAATTATTCTGTAACAGTTAATAAAAAATATTAGTATAACAGTTTGATCAGTATAAAAGTTTAAAAAAAACTTGATTAGAAAATCAAATTTTCATTTGTCAAACACATTTTTCAGTAAAAATTCTTGTATAAAAGTTCGATATCAGTATAACAGTTTGGAGAAATTCGTTAGAAAATTAAATTGTTATTTGTCAAGCATTTTAACACTTCCTCAGTTAATACAAATACTAGTATAACAGTTTCATAATCAGTATAACAATTTGAATTTTTTTTATGAATTCAAATTTTTATTAGTTATTTATTTATTATCGTAAATTATTTTCGATATTGTTAGGTTTTTTTTGTGTTATTCAAAGAATTTAAGAACGTTGTTAATACTATATTTATTTCTTTTGTGTGACTGTGCGGTATGATTGCTTCGTTTGAAAGTTTTATCGAAATTCCTGAAGTTTTGCTGATTTATATTATAAGATGTTGTGATCAAATTTTAATTTCTTGTTAATTCAAAACCATATTTTAATAAAATAATAAATCTTACCTACATTTTGTCTTAGCTGTTTATAATATACATGTAAATTTGAGAATAAAAATTCGACTATACATAAATTTCATATTGATTTAAAAATCAAGATATTTGAGTAATGTTAGTTTGCATATAAAGTATAAACCTTGCTATTTTCTTTGTTATTTTCAATTTTAATTGCATTCACTAAAATCATATATATCAATAGTTAATATAACAAATTGTATAACAAAAATATTATGCTATTAATTTTTTAATGCAATAAGTTTTAATTTAAAAAAAAATTTGTGTAAATCTTATTGTTATATAATTAATTTTAGTAAAACGTTGTTCTTGTTGAAAAAAAAAATTTCATTGTTAGTATTCAATTTTTTAAAATGTAATTTATATTAATAGTTTTTCTTGTTAATATATTGTTATATTGTAATATTTTTATTGTTATACAAATATTTTGTAGTGTATTTTTATTATTATTTTTTTTTTTTTAAAATGTATGTATATAATTAGAGAAATCATATTTTGGATAATAAAATGATAATTAATTTAAAATAAAAATAAAATTTGATTAATTAAAATAATTATAAAAAAAACTAATTAATAAAAATAAAATTTAATAAAAGAAAAGAAAAAATAAAACCAATATTTCGTTAATTTGTTAATTAAAATATCTTACCCAAGTAGACGAGCCTCCTCGGCAGTATTTGCTGGAGCTGATGGCATCTTTGTGTTCAGATTTTTACCAAGTTTGTCACGGTCTCTGAAATTAAAATACTAACATGCAAGCAAAAAGGAAATCTCTTTTTTTTTTCTTATAAATAAAAACTTAATTATATAATTAATTTTTTTTTTCATTTAATATAACTTTAATAAGATTAAACTTAAAGTTTAAAATAAATTATTAATAAAAAAAAAATAACACAAAAATATCAAAAAAATTTTTCAAAAATTATCAAAATTATATTAAATAAAAAAAAAATTAATTATAATTTATGTATTTAATATAATAAATATTTTAATTTAAATATTTGGTTAATTGAAAACCAAAGGTTTTTATTTTAATATTATCGAAATTCAAAATTGTAAATTTAAAAATACTCACTTTAGATTAGTATAAATGAGTATAATTTTTACAGCAATTTTAGTATAAATAAATTATGTTTCTCATTTTATTAAGATTTTTTTAAATTAGATATAAAATCTTTAATTATATTGTGCAAAACGAAAAAAGTGAGCAAACATTTAAGAGAAAACAGAATATAATAATAATAATAATGAGCAATAATTTGAGTAACATTCAAATTACTCAAATATTAATTCAATTTTTTAAGACATAGATGTGTCAAATTTTCAATGTCAAATTGACACCCGTTATGTTTGACATAATATTCAAATTTCAATAAATAAATAAAAAATTTTGTAAAATTAAAAATTATTAAATTCGATAATATTAAATATTATTATTAGTTTTATTAAAGCAATGAAAAAGGAAATTATCAAAAGAAATATATATTATAGAATTAGTTCATAATAATAATTTAAAAAAAATAAAACAAGAAAAAATAACACAAACAAATTATGTAATATAATAGTTAAAGAAAAAATTCTTAAAATATGTGCAAATTATTGTAAAAAAAAATTAAGTATAAAATAAATGAATAAAAATTCAAAAAACACATAAAATAACATCAAACAAACAAATAAACAATTCTGAATATTAAAAGTGTTGACAAGAACTGATGATGATATATATATATATATATATAAAATATGTATGTGTTCGTATTTAATGTTTCACTTAATTTATTATTAATATATTATATATGTATGTATGTACGTCCATTAAAAATACAAAAACATGAAATTTAATATTATATATATGTATATATATATATTATATTATATAACATACATATATATAAAATTGTATTTATCACATAAGACAATAATAATATAATAGAAAATGGGGATTTTATACAAAAGAACAAGGAACAAACATTTATATAAAAAAAAAAGAATTGAAAAAAAAAACAAATAATAATATTAACATAAAATAACAAAATTAACATATAACAGTTATAATAATATTTTATTGTTATATATGGAATTTACATCAGTTATATATATATGATAACAGTTTATGTATTTTATATAACATTATGTATATAAATTCTTCTTATGCTTGTCTTTTTTGTTTTCTTCACTATACATTTTTTATGTTAAATATTTTATGAATGTATATATGAATGTTGTATAACAGTATATTAATTTAACATTTAATACTATTATTTATTATGTATATTAACAGTTATATATATGTTATATTTGTGTTCAAATGAGACACACATTGTGAATTAAGGAAACTGTTATATAAGTAGAAGTATAGAATAAAAAAACAAAATTAGTGTGTAACAATAAAATTTTGTGTGTAAGTTGTACGTACATAAGTTATTATGAAATTAAGTGTTAAATTAAATAGAAAATTTATTGTAAATATATGTACTCGTATGTATGTTAGGTATGCATTATGTATGTATATGAAAATAAGCTGAATTTTCACAAAAGAAAACACCTAGATAATGTATATTATACATAATTATGTATATATAATTAAAAATTATTATATTCGCAAGTGTGTACATATATAATAATTATATAATTTATTACAATATGTAGATTCATTTTACAAGAATAGAATATTGTTCAAATTGTATATCTATATAGTACACGACATTATTAATTTTAATAATTATTGTTCAGTGTATAAGAGAATAAACAAAATTTTAATTTAATGTTAATTTTAACAAACATTTCCAGTCTTTCTCTCTTCCTCTCTCTCTCCCTCTCTCTCTTTCTTTGTATAAAATCACATTAAATTAACATAACAGAAATAATAATAAGATTTTTTCATTTATGTAAATAAAATTAATCTCTTATTAATTTTAATGTCCATCCGGTATAGATAAAGAGAAGTATGGGTTTAATTAAATGTAATAAAATATTGATTTTGTAATAATTCAAGCATATAAAATTAAAATTAGACAGGAAAAAAAAGGGGGGATAAATTGACTTAAAGTCATATTTAATTCAATTTAGGGCTTATATGGTTAGAATTTTTTTTTGTGAGCAAAATTTAATATGCATAGTAATTTTCAATATTCATATTTCGAAATCAATTTTATTGAGTATCATTAAACATAGCATGTAATTCAAATACCAATAATTAATTAAATATGTACATAGAGCAGCTTTTGAGTTGGGCAATCTGTATAACAATATATAATATGTATATTTATAGAAGCAATAATATAATATTCAAACATTGTTAAGAAAAACTTGTATTTCTACTTGTATTTCAAAACTATAACAATTTTCATTGCAGTATTCCGAGAGTGTTGACTTAAACTTTTGAGAGTTCGAATAGTTAAGAAGTGGTAAAATTCGATTAACAAAATTCTTGTTTGTAAACCTATATTTTATTATTATTAAAAGAATGTATATAAATTTCATCATTTACCAAAAATCTTCATTAATTATCAATAAACTTACATCACACGAATCAATTAAAAACATATTTTTCTCCCATCTTTCGTAATCTTGTACACTATAGGTACACATACAGCTTTTTGTTATAATTCTCTCCTTAGATATGATATTATTAAATTAATATGAGTGCAACATATGCATGCGTCTACACATACATAATAGCTAATATAGATATTTAATATGAAAATATTAATCATCGAAGAGTGAAATTTAATCAATCACATGGAAAGGAAAAAAAAAAAAATATACGATATTATAATTTTCTATACTGACAGAAAGAATTAAAATATCAAAAAAAAAATATATTAAATGCCAAGAACGCGCGACATATACACTCAATATTATGGCACGGGAATATCAAGTATACATATACCCATATATGTAGCATATAACTAATATTGTATATGTGTATACACCCTCATATTAATTTACTGAGAAATAATTATATTGGCTAGCAGTTAGCATTATTCTTATATAATTAGCAGAAAATTGTAATGTGGGATATGAAAAAATATGGGGTAATTTTTTCTCCCCTATATACAATAATGTTATAGAAGAGAATAAAAAATTTAAGATAACAACGGTATACATAAAATGAGAGTTTTTTTTTTTTTAGTTTAATTTTTGACATGAAGTCAATCAACTGTAGAGAAAAAAATGAATGGTTATTAATATTTATATACGTATGTAATGTTGATATAATTATATACGGTATTATTTGAGTATGAGAAATAAATATAATTTCTCTTGAATTTTAATTTAATATTCTCATTCATATAATAAATATACGGAATTTAGAGACAATATGCAGAATAGTGTGTGAGCGAAAACTTATTCTTCGTTATTTTTGACAATTAAATGATACTTGATTTGACAATTAAACGATAATTGATATTACAATGCTTACAGCAAACTCTAAATAATTGAATAAAAAATTTCCATTTAGAAAGTGGTAACAAGCTTTCGGTGATATTTAACTTTTAAAAATTTTGGTGAAATTTTTTGGGAACTTGTAAAATTTTTTTGAAAATTTTCTATAAAAAATAATATTTTAAATATTATATAACCTTAATATTATTATACATGAAATGATATCTAATATCGTAAATGAAAATAATAAAAAAATTCAAGGTTTTATATTAGATATTTCAATAATAACTCATTAACTTTTCAAAATACACTTCAAATAATACTAGTTCGTCATACCCTTTTACTAAAAATTTTCGAAATATAACAGTAAAAATCTGTTTCTGGGTTAGAGAAATTTTTATAATTTTACAATTTATTTTTGAAACATGCAATTATTTCTTTAAATATTTTCATCTTTAGAAGAATTGGTGCTTGCAATGAATAATGATGTATGTAGTACTTCTTATAATAATTGAAAACATTAAAATGTGAAATAAATTTATTATGTAAATAAGATACAAAAATATTTTTAAAAATATATGATGGGGTAACCTATATGAAAATTCTATTAATTAATGATAAAAAAAGTATTAAGAGTATATGAAAAATAACAAAAATGTGGTAACACTGCCCTAGTTTAATGTATAATTTTATTAACCAGGACAGTAGTAGTAGTAATAGCGTTCTGAACGTAACAGTTTTTATTTGCAAATTTTCAATATGCCATAATTTTGGTTATCAATATTTTTATTTTGTATGAAAAAATCAATTAATTTGTCAATTTCAAAATTATCATAAATTTATTTGAATTTATTTGAATTTTAATTTACGATATTATTTTTAATATCGTAAATTTTTTTAATATCGTAAATTAAATTGCAAAAATTTAAAGCCTTTCTTTATTATTAAAATATGTTATACTTAAAAAAAAATGCGACGAAATTGTATAAAATATTTCTTATATAAAAAAAAAAACAAACACTAAAATTAAATTTTTTAAAATTTTTAATTTAAAAAAAAAAACTTACCTTGATTTATCGTTTTCGTTTTTATTGTAAATGATTTTTTGCCAAAATACTACTTTATAATTGTTAATAAGAGAGTATACAATTAAATTCTAATTATAATTTTTAAATGCAGTTAATTAAATTCACTTAATTTTGATCTTATAATTAAAATGTAAAATATTAAAATTATAAGAAATCTAATAAAGAATGGTAAAATGCTTAAGGACAATGAAAATTCTTAATAATAAATTTCGAAGCTCGTATATTACTAAAAATTTTAAATAATTTGGACTTTATA